AAACAACCCAAATGTCCATCAACAGGTGAATGAGTAAACCAATTATTTTATATCTCTATAATGGAACAGCCCTCGGCAATAAAAAGGGATGAACTGTTGATTTAAACAACAAAATAGGTGAATATAGAAATGATTATACTGAGTTTTTTAAAGCCAGACCCCACCCCTGGGAAAAAAAAAAAAAGAGTATCATGATTCCATTTATACAAAATTCTAGAAAACACGAACTAATTTGTTTTTTTTTTAGATTTTATTTATTTGACAGAGAGACAGGCAGAGAGGGAACACAAGCTGGGGGAGTGGGAAAGGGAGAAGCAGGCCTCCCACTAAGCAGGGAGCCCAATGTGGGGCTCGATCCCAGGACCCCGGGATCATGACCTGAGCCGAAGGCGGATGCTTAACTGACTGAGCCACCCAGGCACCCCGAAAATACAAACTAATTTATAGTGACAGAAATGGGTTGCCTGGAGATTGGGGGGTGAAGGGGAATAGTTAATGGATATTCTTGATATCTTGATTGTGGTGATGATTTCACAAATGTATACATATGTCAAAACTTATCAAACTGAATACTTGAATATATGCCATTTATTGTATTCCAATCATCCTTCAGTAAAGCTATGAGAAAAAAAGAAAACCACACAATGAAAGAAAAGAAAAGAATGATACACCGTGACCAAGTTGGGTTTATCTCAAGAATGCAAGGCTGACTTAATATTTGAGAACCAATTCATGTCATTGATCACATTTACATAATAAAGGAGAGAACTACGTACTTAATCATCGCCATAGAGGCAGAAAACAGAAATAATTCATCTTCAGAGAAATAACACAAGAAAACATACCACAATTTAGTCGTGAGCTTCCAGGGTGAAAGGGCGCACTATGTATAATGCAGACTGAATTGGGGGGTGGGGGGGAGACCTCACTGTAAGGCACATTAATGGAAAATTTCAAATGAGAAAGCAAAAAGATGGGCGCCTGGGTGGCTCAGTGGGTTAAAGCCTCTGCCTTCAGCTCAGGTCCTGATCCCAGGGTTCTGGGATCCAGCCCCCCCATCAGGCTCTCTGCTCAGCAGGGAGTCGGCTTCCTCTTCTCTCTCTGCCTACTTGTGATCTCTGTCTGTCAAACAAATAAATAAAATCTTAAAAAAAAAAAAAGGAAGGAAAAAGAATATCCTAAATGTTTTCAGAAAGAACCATAAAAGAGTCACATATAAAAGGAGAATCAGAATGGATTCGAGTGCTTTTCAATGGCAAGGGAAAGCTGGAAGATAAGAGAACAATGCCTTCAGAATTTCAGGTAAAAAAAATGTTTGCAACCTAAAATAACTATTAAATCAAGCTCTCAATCTAGTCTATGGCAGAAGAATAAAGACATTCTAGTATATTCTAAAAACCAGATTCCTCTGTACCCTTTCTCAAAAATATAGTGAATTTTTTTTCCCCACCAAAACAAGGCAATATACCCAGAAAGATTAAAAGAAAATACATCAGTCAAAGGACAGGAGAGAGAGGCAGGAAGTTTCCCCCGGATGAAAGTGAAGGAAAGTCCTACAACAACCACTGTGGACCAGATCAAGAATACAACCAGACTAGTTGATAGTAGAAAGATGGAGATACTCATTTGGACGTTTTCAAGAGCCCCCCCCACCAAAAAAAAAAAAAGAATTGATAGAATGCCTGGGTTTTTTTTTTTTTTAAAGATTTTATTTATTTATTTATTTGACAGAGAGCACAAGGAAGGGGGCGGGGCAGAGGCAGAGGGAGAAGCAGGCTCCCCGCTGAGCAGGGAGCCTATACGCCCCTTGTTCCCAGGACTCTGAGATCACCACCTGAGCTGAAGGCAGACACCCAACCAACTGAGCCACCCAGGCACCCCTGAATGTCTGATTTTTTTTTTTTCAACCATATTGTGAGATTTAAAATTCACTCAAGAGTTCTGGGTTGGACTATTGATAGATAAATATACAGAAAATCAAGCAAATAAAAAAACAAGGTAATTCTTTACTCCAGGCTAAGCAAAAGGTTGTATAAGAGAAGAAATATTCTTATACAACACTACATGATTCAGTAAAAAATAGTATTTACATAGTTATGATAGTTTATATATTTAGTATTGATTTCACTATAAATCGGTGACAAGCCTCTGTTGGAAGGGGGAAGGCTAAGTGTGACTATTTCAGGTGGTATGAAAGCATTAAATCTTATTTTCCACAGTATAAAGTTAAAAAATAACAGCCCAAACTGTTGGTTTTAATCATCAAGTAAGCAGCAATATAAATGTGTTACTTAGAAAGTTTGAAGTCTGGGCCACCTGGGTGGCTCCGTGGGTTAAGCCTCTGCCTTTGCTCGGGTCATGATCTCAGGGTCCTGGGATCAAGCCCCACATCGGGCTCTCTGCTCAGCAAGGAGCCTGCTTCCCTCTCTCTCTCTCTCTCTCTGCCTGCCTCTCTGCCTACTTGTGATCTCTCTCTCTCTGTGAAATAAATAAATAAAATCTTTAAAAAAAGAAAATTTGAGGTCTATTCCAAAAGAAATAAAAGTACTTGCCCCTGTGGACTAGAGAAAGACAAGTCAGGAGCAGCTGGGGTCAGGGGGGAGGCTTTAGGTCTTATAATATTTTTTTAAAAGATTTTATTTATTTATTTGACAGACAGAGATTACAAGTAGTCAGAGAGGCAGGCAGGGAGAGAGGAGGAAGCAGGCTCCCCGCCAAGCAGAGAGCCCGATGCAGGGCCCGATCCCAGGACCCTGAGACCATGACCTGAGCCGAAGGCAGAGGCCCCAACCCACTGAGCCACCCAGGCGCCCCTAGGTCTTATAATATTTTTCAAGTATTATTTGATTTTTAAGATTATGTACATATATGGGGTATCTGGGTGGCTCAGTCAGTTAAGCATCTGCCTTCAGTACAGGTCATGATCTCAGGGTCCTGGGATCGTGTCCAACGTCGGGCTCCTTGCTCAATGTAGAGTCTGCTTCTCCTTCTGCCTCTACCCACCACCCCCTTCACCACCACGCCATCCTGGCTCATGCTCTCTCGCTCTCACTCTCACTCTATCTCAAATAAATAAATAAAATATTTTTTTCTTTAAAAAAAAAAAGACTGTACATGTGTTACTTTCATTTTTAAAAAGCAAAACATGACTCTCTTTGCTGTCATTACAGTTTCTGTAATGTTTGATTACATTACTTGGAGTCCCAAGGACAAGCATAAAGAGGTTTGGGAACAAACACAACTGATTCCTGGCCATGAACCACTTAAGTGGAAGAAGAGCTATGAGAGCTTGCTCGAAGCAGCCTACCAGCTGTGTGCATTCAGCAAGACAAGGACACTGGGTCAGCCGCTCTCTTACAGGACTACAGAGCGCTGGTTAATCTAGCAAATCATTTAAACTGAGGTCAGTTAAAAGAGCTTCTACTGTAATGAATCCAGATAATAAAGGAGATGAAATAAAACAGCCTTAATCCATCCACTTTGGCTACCCTGTCATTTTCCCATGGGTTGGATGGAAGAAATTTCACAAGGAGTCGAACTCAAGATCATCCTTCTCAGGGTCATTCAATTTGCCCTGAAATATTAACCCTCTTGAGGGAAATCTGCAAATGAGGATAAGTTAGAAACCTTCTGAAGGGCAGGCTATCTTACACATCCTCTGGCTTAGTCCACAGAATGAGTTGAAAAGGTGGCAAAAGAGATAAGAAAGCAAAATCTGCCTTTTGCGCCGTGATGGATCTGATTTCATTTCAGTAACGAGATTTATGCCATGGTCATCCCCTGTCCTTTGCATTGGGGTAAGGATGAATATTAGCATCGCAAGAGAAAACAAGCGGTTGGGAGCCAAAAGGTGACTTGGGATGCAGCCTCCTCTATCCACACTCAGTAGGATTGTCGCAAATATCCTAGTGTCAAAGTCACCACCTTACCTGCCCCATCCATGAAACCCTGAGGTTTTGAGAATTTTGGATTGCTAATTATTAAAAGAGCTAAGGATGTGCAGCCACCTTTTCAATAAATCAGCCCACTGTTGATCTCTTTGCTGTGCTCTTTGGGGTAATGATCTGCAGAAATATCGCCCGGTAAGGAAAATGCATCTCTCGTTCTTTCCCTTGAACTCAATTCTGGAGGACCTAGGAAGATGAGATCCACCTCCCCTTCGCTCATTTGCTGAGCCCACACGGCTGTGACAGCCCTTCCTGGTAAGAAATCATCAAATTTCCTTTACAGCTAAAACTAGAAAACTAAGCAAGGCAGAAATCAGCTTTTAGGAAGGATGGAGCCATTAAATGATTTTTTTTTCTACACGTAGATTCAGCTAGGAAGGGCCATTTGGACCTTCTGAAATGTCACTCGTCATAGCCCAGGCAAATCAACTCAAAACAAGTATATTCTCTTTATTCAGAAACCTTGAGGCTACTTTCTTCTTTGGCATCAGTAAGCAGGAATGTGACTCAGGTTCAGCTGCTTAAACATCTTCTTGGTTGAGTCTAGAAATGTCTCACTGGCCACTCCCCACGGAGTGACCACCTCCCTAATGTCTAGGCCCCAGCTCTGATCATTAGCCAGGCTTTGACCTTGCCACAAGTGTATCAGTACTTGCCATCTTGGTTTTGATGGGACTGTACTGTTCATTTTAGATAGGAAAACCTGATACATTTTTTTAAGCCATTCATATTTGCACACAAGGGACGAGTCATAGGCACTCTCCTCCTCTTACTTCAGACCACCTCATTTCGCACGTTGCAGGACACAGATCAACCACAGAGCAACTTGCATTGACACTTTTCACAGACAGCCTTCGAATCACCTTGTACACATCGGAGGTCCCCTCCTCTTATTCTCTACCTCCTCCGCAACTCCTGCCTTCCCAGCAATGTTCGGGAGCTACTGCTGGGCTTCGTGACCTAATGGGGAAGACTGTTGAATTACTGAATGTTTTCCTAGCAGGAATCTACATCTTCTCAAGCTTTATTAAGCAAGGGGCCCCAGAGAGGTACCTCCGTGTCAGAGCTGTTGCCATTCAGAGCCTCCATGTTTGGGTCCCTCCAGTCTTCCGAGAGTGAAGGGATGTAATTGTCTGTCAGAGCATCCCAAACCCTGTAAACAAAGAGAAGCTCTCATTAGCACACATCTGTGGCCTGGCCCCGCCTGGAGGAAGGAAGAGCTGGGCCAGGGGAGGAGAGAGAGGCTTCTGTGTGTGCCAGGCTGAGGTCATCTGCCTTCCAGCATGCGAGAGCAAAGCAGCTTAAAAAACGGAATTAGAGGCACTACCAGGAGAGAAAGAGCCAAGAGAATGGACCCTGGCCAGGGGCTTCAGCATGAAAGGTGTTTGCTTAAAAGAAGAGGGCTTTCTCACCATTGAGATACACACGGTAGGTACAATCAAGCCAACTCTGGCAAAAAATAAATTGCCCCTGAAAATAAATCTGCCCCTCCACCGAATAGTTCATGTGTCATGAACCTAAGAAATGCCCATGTTTCCTTTCCTTTCCTATGGGTGAAGAAGACAGAGAGAAAGAGGACGATCATGATAGATTGATAGATTGATAGATACATAGATGATAGACACACAGATGGACATCAGGGCAGATTTTCTGGCTGAATCTCATTAAGATCAGGGTCATCATAAAGTTCAGATGCATTTCAATTTTATTGAATGCAAATCAATCTAAATGGTCAAGAATGAACTCCTTGACATCTAACGTAGCTAAGGGGATAATGCCGATGCTGTTCATGCTTACTTATTACCCAAAATGCTCTAGCGAGCCCACGGGTGGCACAATCCCGCCCTCTAGCAATGTAAGTCTCCATCACGGACACTCTAAGGCAAATATAGGAAAAGAATCAATCAATACACCTCTAACAATTGGTTTTTGTGAGGGAAGATGGGGCTCCCTTTATTACGTTACTTTTAAAAATTCCAATATGTACATTATAAGAAACCCTTTCCTACAACTCATGCCATTTAATTCACTTATTTCAGAAAGATTTCTTGGGCGGGGCGGGGTGGAAGAGAGGGGGTTAGGGGAAATTACCTAAAGTCACAAATTCTCACACACAGGAAAATAAGCAAATGAGGGACACCTGGGTGGCTCAGTCGTTAAGTATCTGCCTTCAGCTCAGGTCCTGATCTCAGGGTCCTGGCAGCGAGCCCCCATTCAGTCTCCCTGCTCAGCAGGAAGCCTGCTTCTCCCTCTCCCACTCCCCCTCTTGTGTTCCCTCTCTTGCTGTGGCCCTCTCTGTCAAATAAATAAATAAAATCTTAAAAAATAAAAATAAAAATAATAAACAAATGAGTCAACACCGAGAGATTAACAAAAGTCATTAAACCAAGCTCCTAAAATAATGTCGTCCATGGCAGCCAGTGGCATTGGCTAATATTAGCTAATGATAAATGAGGGCTCTACACAATCTTCCTCCAGTGCCTACACATGCCAAACATGAGTGATACCTATGAAAACAAAGTCTAAGAAGGTACATTTTATTTAGATTAACTAATATAAAGAGATAGCCATTTAAAAATAATCAACTGGGGCACCTGGGTGGCTCAGTGGGTTAAAGCCTCTGCCTTCGGCTCAGGTCATGATCTCAGGGTCCTGGGGCTCTCTGCTCAGCAGGGAGCCTGCTTTCCTCTCTCCCTTTCTCTGCCTACTTGTGATCTCTCTCTCTGTCAAATAAATAAATAAAATCTTTAAAAAAAAATAAAAATAAAAATAAAAGTAAGCAACTAAGTATACATATGGATCAAATTCAAAACATGACAAAATCCAGGCTGAAAAGGCAAGTGCAGGACGGACAGGAGCACAGACATTTGAAATGTGAACAGGTGAGTGCCCTTAACATACGTAAAATCCAGAATGATATATGATTTATGGGCATAGAAGCAAAGAGTCTTTCCTAGTGCACAAGGTATACAACCGGTCATGAGGCACATTGAAGGAACTCAAGAAAACACAGTTTCAGAGCCGTGCGCGGGTGATCCGCTTTTTCTGTTATCTTCCTACAATTACAAGAAAGCGCTTTGAGAGGACTCATCAAGCGTTCATTAGACATCCATTCAGCAGGATTTCAGCGTCTGCTTCTTAAACATGGGTGATAATCCAATCTCCATCAGGCACCGTTAGAGCTTTATTAATCCAGCCTAATGGTAACGCAAGTCTCAGCAGCATTCTAAAGCCAAGAGGCAAACACGATTTGCCGTCTCCAGGACAAAACTCCAAGCCCCACACGGGGAAGGCCAGCGGGGGACTCCCCCTTCACATGGCTGTGTTACCTTCTCTGCTGCGGAAGATCAACAACAAGCATGTGGGCATTGACCTTCGAGTTCTCCCTGCAGCAAGCGCCTGGAAAAATGAAATTCAGCAAAGCCCAAAATAGGCAGGAGGATTTTGTGCCTCTTCTAGGCTGGATAGAAGCCGGGAACTTTAATGAACCACACACTTGCCAATGACCTTGAAACTGCCTGCATTCTTAAAACAACAAGTAGGGACTCTGTCAAATCGTGGAGGGCATGGCAGCTTTTCTCATGTGAGCCTTCACTGACATATTCTGGATTTCATCTTCCAGTTCTAGATTTTTAGGGACGATTCCCCACACCCTGATCTCCTTGGGATTTCAAGCCATCCTCATTCTTTCCTGTTCTGTCCAAATTTTCTTCTTCTTTTCCGAAGTATTCTTTACCCTTCGGGGTTCATAAACAACCTTTAAGACAGAGTGACTCTTATCTCTGTAATTGCTCACATACGCCACACCCCTACGCATAGTCAGTGCCCACGTCACAATAATAATGGCCAACCCTTAATGGGCACTGACCATAAGCCAGGTACTCTCCTAAACCTTTGTGTGGTTGGATTCATTTCTTCCTCACAACTCTATAAGGCAGATCCTAAGGAGGGGGGAAAAAAAACTGAAACAGAGAAGTCCGTTAAATGTCTAGGGTCACACGGTCAGTAAAGACAGAGGTGGGATTTGAAACCGGGCAATACAGCTACAGAGCTTATATGCCTAACCACGTAACTATTCCAGTTCTTTATAATTTTACTGGCACTGGCACGGGCATCAGAATAATATACCAAGTTCCCACTCACAAGCTAGAACAGCAGTTCAGAAAGTGGCTCTCAGTGAAAGATCTCTAACTCCATTTTCCTTGGACAGGGTGCTTTCATCGGTCTCCAAAAGGAGCGATGGCAGGGGCAGCAGGGGCGTGACGGCTTCCTGTCTAGCTCTCCAGCCCCAGCAAAGGTTACACAGAAGGCAAGGGCAGAAACACTGGCGGCAGCCACGGGAGCGGGAGAGGGAGCAAAGAGCCAGTGGTGGGAGGGAAACACAAAGCTTTCTCTGAGGAAGAGAAGGGGAAGGGCTTTCTTCCCCAGAGAGGCTACCTATTCCCCCACAAGCAGGGGCCTTGGGAATGAACACATTCCCTTTTACAGGCACCCTGAGGAGGACTGTGAAATTCTACTTCCCTGAGAAGCACCCTGCTACGGACTCTTATCTTGGGGAAGGGAGACTCCCAATGTTACCTCCTAGATCTGTTCTCAAACAGCCAAGATTAAACAGGTTGCCTTAATTCCCGTCGTTATGCTGCTCTTCGTGTGCGTGGATTATGGCCTGGGCTTAGCGAGATGCCTGTGGACTGACTAAACCATCTTTCACCAACCAGGGCTGGGGATTCGGAAATGGACACAGGCAGAGTGTGAGGGACTGAGCAGGATGGGTTGTGACAAGACATGGATACAGAGATCTGGGTCTACTGGCAATATGGCCATCAAGGCTACGTGAGTCCTGCCACACACACATACACACACACACACACACACACGCCTCTTTGTACCTATTCTGGACAATACAGCAGGCAGCTAGGCTTAAAGGGCTTATTAGAATTCCGACTTGATAACCTTTCCCTTCATACCCTTGAGGCTGGCTCCTCCCTCCCCCCAGTGTTTTGTGCCCAGCCAGGCCGACAGCCTCGCTTGGGTGTGTGTTCCTGTGAGTATATTAATGCTTGGTTCACAGTTAATACTTAGGAATTATTATACGCACATACCGGCTTTGAACAACTTTTAAATTCTTTCGAGGACTTAAATAGAATCAATACTACCGCTGCCCTCTGGGGAAACTGAACTTCTGAGAAGAGAAATAAAGTTCCTAAAAATCAGTTACCCGTCGGCTTTCCCTGTCCTGCATATTCGGTATTTACTTGTCTTCACCCTCAAGTATAGCTGACTACGTGGTATTTATTTACCGCGTGGACTTTACTTGGTTTTAAGTTTTTATTTATTTAAGGCATCTCTACACCCAGCACAGGGCTCAAACTCACAACCCCGAGGTCAAGAGTCACATGCTCTTCCAGACCACGCCAGACAGGCATGACCCCACATGGACTTTATTTTTAACAGCTTTAACCCAACAATTCTATCTGAAGAACAGGAAACTGATTGTTCCCACATGTCTGGACCCTCAGTATCCTGGGTGCCAGTAAGAGGACGGATCGCAACCCCAGTGAGGCAGGCAGTGGGCTGAGGTCTGTAGCCTCCCAGTTCAATCTCTCATGACAAAGGAAAGGATGATCACACATGGGCAAAGAATAGATTCTGGAAGTTTCTAAGCTTACAGCCAGGAAATAACTATTCAAATTTGACTCGTGTAGTGCCTAAAACTTCCACGGCCTGACGAGTCAGAGTTAACTTGACTTCTCAGCCAAATACTTATTGGCCAAATGGTTCCACACGGGAAGGAAAGAAATCCAATCTTTTTTCTTTTTTTTAAAGAAATCCAAACTTTAAAGGGAATTACTGCACTGGCTTTATGACTTGTGCTATCTTTAAGGAGGTTAGCTTGACTAAGAATGACACAGCTTTTGTTTTATGTTTCTATTATTTAGGTCTAACCCAGCCGAAACACTTGTAGTCTGTTTGTGGATGAAACACCCATTCCACTACTAAAACTAGGCAAGTTTAGTACAAGCTATGCTCAGGAGAATCATAACCACATTAGATATTAAATTATCTTTTTCCTTTCTCCATCATAATTTTATAGTTTATAATTTTATAGTGTCCGGATAGGTATCTCTAGGCAAAATGTGCAATTTAACTCTGATTTTTATTTTAAGTTGGAAAGGCTTAGATACATGGACTGCTTAGAAAGCACAGTGTTAATTTCTCTGTTCCCAGCTTCCTCCCTCTACGCTATCCCCAAACTGTACCTTATCTCTAAGGAACTACTCAACCTTCGGTCTTTTAGCTGAAGCAGTCAATGAGGCAGGCAAGACAGAAAAAGGGTGAGCGGACCAATAACCCCATGTGATGGTAATTAACATTGAGTGGCCTCTGCTAATGTGCTAGAAGAGAGTAAGAACCAGTTCACTGGGCCTTCGTCCTTAATGAGGCAGCGGGGAGCGGGGGAGGCAGGGTTGCCGTTAGATTGGGAAGAAATGATTTGTTGGAAGCAAAAGGAATGGGACGCATCTTAAAATGTCATTGTGGGTAAGATAAGGAATTAGGGTCTTTCCGAGTTCTTAGCCCCGCTTCATCAAGATTGAGCTCTGAAGGTTTCAGAGATGAGGACCCACGCAGTCGGCTAGAGTTAAGTGACTAGCCCAAGGTCACACAGTGAGTTAGCAGGAGTAAGAAAATTATAATTCACAGTCTTTGTATTTCTAGTTCATTGCACCAGGCAGTGAAAAAAAATATTCTGTATAATAAAGCCCCAGAGCCATTCTTTTTCGACTTATAGGAGTTAACAAATTATAACAGGCTCGGCATTTAAGAAGAGTCAGTTTCAAACTTAAAACTGAATTTAAACACAGAGCTCACAGTTATAGTACTGGTCACCAGAGTAAAATGTTCTCTCTGATCATGACTTCAGGCCAACATTAATTAAAAAGGAGAAAAGGAAATGGTGTGGATCTGGAAATGCACTATCTTTACCTACGAGGATGGCCATTATTGCTCACCCAATTCATTTAATATTCAGTATTTCGTCCAAAAAATATTCCTGGATTACTTACAACACACCAGACCCTGGATTAGACATGGGGGTATAATAGTGAGTGAGACAGACAGACACAGAATCCCAGGACACTCACAGGGTCATCAAGTCAGCAACTATCTCCCACACTGGTCAGGCTCCCTTGTCTAGGACACGCCGTTTTATCCCACTTATTTATGGGCAACAGTCCCCCTCCCCCGGCTCAAGTTCATAAAAAGAGAAACCAAAACCCGGTCGCTCCAAAGTCCCATTACAACTACGTGTGTGATCCCTTAAGAACAACTGATACTTATTTTATCTCTATAGGGAATTCAGGCCTATTTTTACTAAGTGCCTAAAACACCCTTCTTTAATTTATGTGCCAAATTATCCCCTTCATCTTTTTCTAGTCACTCCTCATACAGCACTTTTCTCAAAGCCCTTTTCTTGACTACAGTTAAGACCCCAGGAGTGGCTAGTAAGTGACCCAGGGACTCTGTATACTCAAAAGCCACATCACCTAATTGTCACTTTTATTGTGCCCAAAGTAATTCCCTGGGCTCTCGGTTAGTATGGTTTCTGGTTTGGACATATCTTAACACTTGTAGATGATTTTCCAGTCCTGAGGAGGGTTTGTAAACAGGTGATTTTTATAATTCTGCTGTTTCTGGAAGCAAATTGTTGGACTCTGTCACTGTTGTTTTTTTTTTTTTTAAGATTTTTATTTATTTATTTGACAGAGATAGATGACAAGTAGGCAGAAAGGCAGGCAGTGGGGGTGGGTCCCTGCTGAGCAGAGAGCCCGATGTGGGGCTCGATCCCAGGACCCTGAGATCATGACCTGGGCCGAAGGCAGAGGCTTAACCCACTGAGCCACCCAGGGGCCCCAGGAATCTGTCACTGTTAGTTAATTTTTCTTCTGGTCCTTATTTCTAATATCTGGGTGGATTACTACTGATATAAAGAAAACTGAAGAGGTACCTGGCTGGCTCAGTTGGTTAAGTGTCTGCCTTTGGCTCAGTTAAGGATTTCGGGGGTCCTGGGATCAAGCCCCACATCAGGTTCCCTGCTCAGCGGGGAGTCTGCTTTTCCCTCTCCCTCTGCCCCCTCCCCACTGCTTGTGCTCCTCTGTCTCTCAAATAAATAAATAAAATCTTTAAATAAAAAAAAAGGGCAACCCTCTCGGGTCCCCTTCTTCTTTGGGAACTTTGTACTATCACTCAATAAACTTTGCTTTGCTGCCCTCAACTCTGCCCCTCTACTTCTTCATTCTTCAAAGCGGTGTGACCAGGAACAGCAGGCACCAAAGGCAAAAATCCTACAACATGTGCTTCTAGAAATTACTAAATGTATCCCTAAATTTGTCAGTCTGAAGAATGCTATTATAACAACGTCTTTACCATTGTTTACGTCTTCGTTTTCACCAGAAAGTAAGCTTTGTAAGGGTTAAGAATTCTAGTTTATGTAATTAAAGCTACTAGAAATAATAAGGGAAACAGCTCCACATGCAAGCAAAGTAAAACGTGTGCTTTAATGAGGAAAAAGAGAGTCATAGAAGGCTTGTGCAAAATAAATTTTTGGAAAGGGAAAAAAAAAAGAAAGAAAACTGAAGATAGGCTCTAAAATGGATCATGCTCCTAAAATTCCATTTTGTATCAAAGAAAACCTATTTTCTAAAAATCTTTCATTCCTTTAAGGTTTCCATTTTAAGAAAGCTCTACAGGCCACCGTACAGGGACATAATAGTGGAATGTCGGCAATTCCCGGGGCCTTGCCCCACTAGAGGCAAGTGTAAATGACACGAACCCATGGACAGAAACCAGGTCCGTGTCAAGGAGCCCCAGTCTACGGGGCTCATGTCGGAAGCAACAGAGGGCAATTAAGACTTCTTACTCCTCGTCCTGCAAGGTCTCCTCCTCCTCCTGGATCTGGAACTGGTTCTTCACGGGAGCCAGGGTCTCCGTCTTGGCGTTGTAGTTCCGAAAGCAGACATTGAGCTTCTCGTCAAATTCATTCACGAGGTCCTCCATGGACTTGAAGCTGATTATTTCGGAAGAAAAATTCTCCAGCTCAGAGAGGGAGGGGTCCTCTAGATGGTGGGGAGATGAGCCGTAGAAGCACTGTGGTTTCTCCTCCCGGTCGTCTGAGCAGCTGGGCCGAAGGTCCTCGAACTCTTCATCCAGACTCACCAGCGGGGCCTCCATTCTTGCCCGGCGAGAGGACAACAGCAACTCTCAGTTGATCTAGGAGAAATAAACAAGGTAACATGAGCTGGGCTGGGGTTTTGTGACAGCTCTGCCGGGGAGCCGTAACCAAGTCGTCCCTGGCTCTAGATCCCTCTGAGAAAGAAGATTCTGCTTGCCAGGCATCCATCATGGCCGCTCACTGTTATACACGGGAGATGTTCAAATAGGGCCATCCGTGTGAGTAACCAAAGTGAAGAAAACTTTAGAGACATCCCTGCTTCCAGTTCCCTGCTCCAAAACACAAAGCAGAGTGGTTAAGACGCAGGCCTGGACCAGACTGCCCAGGTTTGCATCCTGTTCTGACCCTGACAAGTTGTAGCCGGACAAGTTCCTTAATTCTCTGAGCTTCCTTTTGTTTTTTTCTCAAGAAATAATCATCTGCAAGGGATTGTCTGATAGATTAAGGGAGTAAACCCAGGTAAGTGCTTAGAACTGTATCTGGAAGATAATAAACATCATTGTTGTTCCATATGTTCTCCATTTATTATTATTATTATTATTATTATTATTATTACCATAGGTCCACATTCTTCACCATGTGCTCTGAGAACCAGAAGTCTTTGATAACTTATTTGGTGGCAGAATCTGACCTGACCTCACTTGGCAACTAAAGCTGATCTACATGAATTTAAAGTTGCTTATGGTTTTAATTTATTCCATTTAATGTGTTTTGCTGCAGAAATGTTAATGTTTTTAATTATGGCGATTGCTGCCCCAATCCCCAGGAGACGATATGCAGGATATGCACTCTATTACTGCTTTCAAAATGCCTGGCCCTAAGGGTTTTGGATAGGAATTCATGGACCTGGATATTACTACCCTCATCAATAAATCATAGACCAATAGAGACTTTCAAACAAGCACCTGAGCTCTTCTAAGACACAGAGCTTCTATCTGGGGTTAAAGGAATGGATCAAATGATTGGTTATCCTGAAAGAGAGAGACCCAGCTAACTTCCCATGTGCTCCAAGGCCAACCTCCATAACCATCTCGGGCACACCCCACTGAAAGGCTGCACACTCAGGCCTGCTTTCTTTTCCACGGCTCTGGGTCCTCCTCATACACTGCTTTCCACCGCGATATATCCAACCATGTGGATATCCAAGTCCTTCCCCAATTTTAATTTCAATCCCTCAAGGGCACAAACATCTCTGGACATCCCGTATGGCTTCTAGCACACACTGCTGTGCTGCTAGGCAATCAATCAATGTGCACTCAACGAGAAATGATCATTTGTCCCCTACATATAGTTTCTCATTTTCAATTTCAAGCAGCACAGCATTACTGTCTCTCACACCCTTCCCTCCCTATTCCACTTCCTTCCCCATAATGTGGAAAGGCAACCAAACTCTTCTCTCCTGTCTGTGTGATTACTGGTCCAATGAGATGCTGAAATTGGAACCACCACCTGAGGAGAACCGAACAGATAACAAAAACCATGGGTTTTGCCCTGCAAGTGCCGTTCTCCATCTCTGTCTATAAAACTTAAACTCTAAATGAGTGAGGCAAAGGTCATGCCAGGCCAGGACCAAGCCAGCTCTTACTGGGATTGTACTGGGATTAAGCCAGTTACCATCACATCCCAACAAAACACATTCTAAGTATTTATGGTTTGCAAAGGCAACATGATAAGACATAAAAATAAAGAGATATAAAAGCAGTATGGTATCTTGGAAAGAACATATGCTCAAGAGCCAAAGAGACCTGCCAATGTGTGGCTAAGTGACAAGCTTCATGGGTCCTGATTTTCTCATCTGTTAGAAGATGAAGGTGTTGGTGTAGAGCTAATAGCTTTGGAAGTTAATTTCAACAACTTATTAATTAACAATCTTAATTTTAATAAAATATTTAATGATGTATTTTATTTGATCCAATATATCCAAAAGGTTGTATTTCAAAATGTAATCTATATTTTAAAATATTAATGAGACAGTTTCCATTCCTTTTTCGTACTCAGTCTTTGAAATCCAGCGTGTGTTCAATGTACATTTTCCATTTGGACTATCCACAGGTGGCTTGCGGCTACCATATTTTTTTTTTATTTTTTTTTTTATTTATTTGACAGACAGATCACAAGTAGGCAGAGAGGCAGGCAGAGAGAGAGAGGAGGAAGCAGGCTCCCCGCAGAGCAGAGAGCCCGATGCGGGACTCGATCCCAGGACCCTGAGACCACGACCCGAGCCGAAGGCAGAGGCCCAACCCACTGAGCCACCCAGGCGCCCTTGCGGCTACCATATTGGATAACAGAACTATAAAGCAATATGCAACTAATTCGCAGTCAAGGTTTCTTCATCTAGGGTCTACAGACCCCTAAAAGGGCTCTTTGAATATAACTATCTTTTATGCACTTAAAAATAAATTGAATTAAATTAAAAATAAAAACAAAAGCAAACAACAACAACAGATGAGGGATTTGTTGAGGACTAGAGCAGAACTCTGTGACGGTTAAGAGCCTGGACTCCAGGTTCTCCTTTTGATCCTATCACTTCTTAGGTATGAGACCTGGACAAATTATCAGCCTCTGATAAACTTGTGCCTCAGTCTCCTCATCCATAAAATGGGGTTTAAATAATATTTAGGGGTGCCTGTATGGCTCAGCCGGTTAAACATCCCACTCTCGGTTTGGGCTCAGATCATGATCTCAGGGTCACGAGATGGAGCCTCGCATCAGGCCCCATGCTCAGTGTGGAGTCTGCTTAAGATTCTCTCTCTCCCTCTCCCTCTGCTCCTCCCCCCTGCTCACGCTCTATTTCTCTCTCAAATAAATAAATAAATAAATATTTTTTAAACAAATAAAATAAAATGGTATTTAAATTGAATGTTATTTTGTAGAGTAATGAAGATAATCTTTGAAAGTGCTAAGCACAATGTATGACATATGTGGTGTCCAATAGATGTCAATGATTTTACGAAAATAAGGATAACTCAGTTTCACGGAAAGGTAGGGGGAGGGTGGGTCAAGTAAAAAATAAAATAAATAAAATAAAATAAAAATGCCCCCTGCCGGGACAGTCTATGTGCAATGCTCCAAATGTTGATCAAATGGGAGAACCATTGCTGAATAAATTTTATCACCTCTTTTTTGATTTATTTGGTCAAAGATTCTTGGAATACGGGCCCCATTTCAGGGAGACATGAAAGCTAACTGCCTTATGTTCCAGATATGTACACTTCCTTTAAATTTGTACTCTTCTCTAAGAGAGAAGGGGGAGCGGGAAAGAGTGATACCAACGGGGGGCTAGTCTGAAACGGCACCATCCATACTATTAACCAGCAACAAGAAAACGAGCCAACCAGAATCTAAGACAGAGACTGAGTTTGGGGTGTTGGCAACAGGAGGATTACGCTGAAAGCACCTATCCTCAGCCCAGGCAGCCTCTGGAGGAAATGGATTCACCTAGATGATTATAAAACAAGAACGGGATAGCACAGCCCTAGAGTTCTGAAACATGGTCATAGCCTGATTTCTGTCCATCGATTCACGCCCAGGAGCCAAGAAGCTCTGTGTGAATGACCACCCGGGAACCTGGGGATGAAACAAAAACTGAAAGCCTGCACTGGAAATTGGAAGTCACTCAACACCCAAGCCGAGCCCGGTATTTGTAGAAAGACCCCAGGGTGCGGCAGAGGCCATGAGAGCCTGGCTCAAGGAGGGACCTCTGGGTGGGCACTGGCCACCCTTCTGGAACCCGTGCCCCTTCTGTCCTTCCTTTAGCTCACTTTCTCTTGCTCTTCTCCCTTGGTGAGGTGCCTTTGCACTCCCACTGAAATGTCCTACTCTTGCATCCTGACAAGCTCTCCCCTGTCTTCACTCCCAGCTCATCTCAGAGGCCTCCTCCCTGAAAAGCTAGGGTTAATGCAATTCAGAGCTTATCCTGTCTCTACACTTCCCAAATGATTTTTTTTTAAAAAAGGCAGGAAGAATGGCAGAAAAAGGGAACCGCGGAAGGGTGACCTTGTCTTTTTCACTCTATCCAATAACAGCCTGCAGGACTAGACTTTGATTATGTCCTATAATCTACTCCATTTATTTTGGCTCCTGATAGATGGTGTAATTTGGAAAAGAAAAGATGGTTCCAAGCATCACAGAGACCACAGAAGCCTCTCCCCTTGCAGCATAATGATGCAGCTTGGGGCTGCAGTCACAAATTTTCACACCCTGCTTTGCTGAGCTGAACAGAGAGAAGCAGGAGCAGAGAATTCACCATTGCCTCCCCCCCCCCCCCGCCCCGCCCCCGCGGGGCCCCTGCACCTCCACAGAGGCCCCAGTCCATCTCCCCCTTCTTCCTATTACCTACCCCATAGATCAGTTATTTCTAGCCCCTTACCCACCTCATCCCTAAAATCTGCCCTGCACTGATTCACCGCAGCTGTCCCACTGCTACTCAGCAAAACCAGCCAGGATATAGGACAGTGCCAGCTTCCTACAACGAATGTATTTTGTTGCATAGGAGTCAGCAACCCCTTTGCGTTCTGCTTCCCCCCTCTTCCTCCTCCTCCTGCTGCTCCATTCACCCTCATTTCACATCCCCCTCCTCTCTACCCCGCCCGGGTCTGTTGGGGTAAAGAAAGGCTTCTCCAAACAGCACAATGGCTGGCGCTCCAAGAAAGCTGGGCTCAGCCCGCGCAGGCCGCACACAGACTCCACGGCCCTTTGGCCAAACAAGAGCGGGACACGGGAGTGGCAGGGAGCTCCGCGGGTGTCCAGCGGCGACAAGGGAAGGGATAGGCAAAAAAGAAGAGAAGGCTGGGATAACACGCCCGTCCTGGGGCTCGGTCAAGCCTCGCGCCCCTGAGCCCCAGAGGCCCTGGGCCCACCGGAGGGCAGCGCTCCCCCCAACCACCACCACCCTCGTCCTTTCTCCGACCTGTTCCGTAGTAAAACAATCGCTCCCGCAGCGTCTGCGGCAGCTGCCAGCGGTTCTGACACTGCAGGAATGCATGGTCCTGGGGACGGGCTCGACACCCCAGGGAGGGGCACGGGCGGGTGCGGGGTCAGGCTCTTAGGGGCATAGATGACTCGGGGGCGTTTTAAGAGTAGCCGGGCCGGATAACGGTCCAGGGAGCAAGTACAGTCCCACTGCCCCACACCATCGAGCAGCGTTCCCGGTTCGGCCTGCCCCCAGCTCGCGCCGCGCCTCCCTTCTTTCTCAATCTCTCTCTCTCTCTCTCTCTCTCTCACACACACACACACTCGCACGCACACGCACGCCAGGCCTGGCTGGGGGGCCCAGGCTCTGATCTGATGATGCTTGAAGTGCCCATCATCCCAAAGCTCCCGGCCCGGGCGCTGCGCTCCCTTGAAGGGCTGGGCAGGAGGGCGACGGCCTCAGGGCTCTTCCGTTCCAATTCCAGGATGGGACGGGATGGGGGCGCGGGGCTGCGGCGCCCCCGGACCTGCTGGCGGAGAAGCCCTAGTCGCGGGGCCTCTCCTTCACCACCCCCGTCCGTCCAACCCCCACCCGCGGCAGTGGGTCGGTCGGGCTAAGGTCGCCCCCCGCGACGGCACCTGTGCGGGTCCTGGCGGAGGGAGGCGGATATCGCGGGGCTCAGCGGGACACCCCCATCCACGGCCGCGGGGAGCGGCCGGAGCACAGCGCGGCGGCGGCGGCGGCAGCGGCGAGCCAGCAAGCGCTCCCCCCGCAGCTCGGCCGGCGCCCGGCTCCGCTCCCCTCCTCCACCCCGCCCCCTCCGCCCCCTCCCCGCGCTCGTGTTTGGGCCCTCGGGAGCGCGCCCGCGCTCGGGCACCCGCCCGCTGGCACGCGCCGGGCCCGACGTCATCTACTCGTTAGCATTCACAGCCTTCCTTGTAGCATGTGGCCTGCCTTTATTATTATTCATGACTTACTATTTCTCCCCCCTCTAACATTGGACTTTCTTCTGCCCTCATGAATATTCAGCAGCTCCAAGATCTGTGCGTGCTGTAACTCCCAATAAGGATACTTCACAGCGCCTGACACTGTAGATTCTCCATAAAAACATAGGCAGGTGGCTGAGTGAATGGGCAGGCGGACGCCCTCCAATACACCGAAGATTCCCCTGGCCTTTTTGGGGCTCTGACTCATTCCACTCTACTGGGGACCGAGGTCAGCAAGCTGAGGGATGCCTGGCAGCCCAAACCCAGCTCAGACCTCCAGCCAAAAGTGATAACGGCATTTACCGCCCAAAGATTCAGGATGAGAGCTGGATCCAGGCTGATAAAGCTGAATGAGGTTTCTGGCACAGGAGGACTTGAGGTAATAGAGAATAATCCACCAGGGGATTATAAGGAAGGCCCTGGGGTCTTATGAAAATTGTCTCCTCATTCATTTATCTTGTCCACTATGCATAAGTCTGTGTTTACAAGTGCTGTCAGTACAAAGTCTAATAATTCACCAAAGCAGACGACTGAAAGCACAAGATCTGTGGGTATCAATGGAAGCAACCTTGGAGAACCCAAACACTTTGGTCAAGTTAGAGATGAAGTCAGATAAACTGGCAGAGGTGTGGAGAAGGACCTCTGGACGAAGCTGAGAGCTTCAGCTGAAAGGAGCTGGAGCCCTTTTTTGCTCATTTATGCCTTCATCCCACAGACATTTCAATCGTGAGACAAAGGTGGAACAAGGGAATAAGGTCCCATCCAGAGGAGAGCAAGAGTTGGTCACTTTGCCCTCCAGGGGGCATCAACCAGATAGAGTGGGGGCTGGTTCAAAGGCCCATGATTCGGGGTGCCTGAGTGGCTCAGTCAGTTAAGGGTGGGATTCTTGATTTCAGCTCAGGTCACGATCTCAGGGTCATGGGATCGAGCCCTGAGTTGGGCTCCTCGCTGGGTGTGGAGTCTGCTTGAGATTCTCTCTCTCTCCCTCTCCTTCTGCCCTTCCCCCACTCTCTCTCTCTCTCTCTCTCTCTCTCTCTAGGATAAATAAATATTAAAAAAAAAAGGGGGGGTTGGGTGCCTGGATGGCTCAGTCGGTTAAGGGTCTGCCTTCAGCTCAGATCATGATCCTGGGGTCCTGGGATCAAGTCCCACATGAGGCTTCCTGCTCAACGGGGAGCCTTCTCCCTCTGCCTGCCTCTCTCCCTGCTTGTGTGCTCTCTCTCTCTGACAAACAAATAAGTAAAATCCTGAAAAAAAAAATTTTTTTTAAATGGGGACCCCGGAGTCTACTTTGTTGGGATGTTACCCAGTTTTGTGACTTAGTCTAGTTAACCTTCTTGTGCCTCATTTCTTCTTCAGTAAAACGAGGTTAAATAAATAGCACCCACCTCCAATGCCTGTCGTAGGATTAGAGTTACTATATGTAAAGTACTTTCTTTCAGGCACAGTAGAAGGCACTACAGTCTTGGCCAGTATCCTTCTTAGGAGAAGCTTGGGGACACTGTACCAGAGGCCACCTCTGTCCTGATCTTCAAAAGCATGGGACTCACAGGTTTGAGAGAGGCTTTCAAGGAAGCACAGCAAAGTGATAAATAGCTTGGGCTTTGCAGAAAATTTAGGGTCAAACCCCAGTGTTCCATGTATCAGCTGGGGACCTTGCGCAAGTTACTTGCCAGCTTTCAGCCTCAATGTCCTCATCTGTAAAGTGGGGATTCCAATATCTCCTACAAGGTGGCTGTGCAGATTAAATAAAATAATGCCCACAAAATGCTGAGCATAACGCCCAACATATAGTAAGTATTCAATAAGGGAATTCTGTTGTTCTTATTTTTGTGAGGACTTGGAGGAACTAGAAGTTGATGATTGATATTCTAGGTATCTGGAATGCGAATGTCCTAAAACACGAGCAAGGTTATTCCTCCATAAAAACATTTTTTTCATTTCATTGCGGTAAAATACACACAAGATAAAATTTAGCATTTTAACCATTTTCAAATGTACAATCCAGTGACATTAAGTACGTTCACATTATTATTGCCACCATCACCCCTTTCATCCCAAACTGAAACTCTGTATAAATTAAACAATAAATCTCCATTCCTTCGTCCCTGCACACCCTGAAACCATCATTCTACTTTCTGTCTCTATGAATCTGACTGTTCTAAGTTTGTCCTTTTGTGTCTGGGTTATTTCACTTAGTATATGCTTTCGAGTTTCATCCTTGTTGTAGCATGGGTCAGAATTCCATTCTTTTTTAAGATGGAATGATGTTCCGGGGTGCCTGGGTGGCTCAGTGGGTTAAGGCCTCTGCCTTTGGCTCAGGTCATGATCTCAGAGTCCTGGGATCAAGCCCCACATCAGGCTCTTTGCTCAGCGGGGAGCCTGCTTCCTCCACTCTCTCTGCCTGCCTCTCTGCGTACTTGTAATCTCTGTCTGTCAAATAAATAAATAAAATCTTAAAAAAAAAAAAAGAAGATGGAATGATGTTCCATGGTGTGGATATACCACATTCTGTTTATTTTTTTTTTTAAGATGTATTTTATCTTAGAGAGAGAGAGAGAGAGAGAGAGAGAAAGTGAGTGCATGAACAGGGGAGGGCCAGAGGGAGAAGGAGAGAGAGAATCTCGGAGCCCCCAGTGAGCAGGAAGCCCAACTCAGGGCTTGATCCCAGGACCCTGAGATCATGACCAGAGCCCAAATCAAGAGTCAGATGTTTGAGGCACCTGGGTGGCTCAGAGGGTTAAGCATCTGTCTTCAGCTCAGGTCATGGTCCCAGGGTCCTGGGATCGAGTCCCACATCGGGCTCTCTGCTCAACGGGAACCTGCTTCTTTCTCTCCCTCTGCCTGTCATTTCCTCTGTTTGTGCTCTCTATCTGGCAAATAAATAAATAAGATCTTACAAAAAAAAAAAAAAAAAAAGAGTCAGATGCTTAACTGAGCCACCCAGGTGCCCCTAGCTGAGGAGATTTTTCAAGGGTGAAAAATGTGGCCTGGCATCTCCTTGCTGCTTAGGGTAAAAGGCAATGAGGAATGGAGGCCTGGACCCCCTCCCCTCCTACGCATTATGTTGCATGTAAAGTTTCTGAGAATTTCATCCAACAGAAACACTGCCAACCTGGGCCGAAAGGATAGGGGATGGGATGCATTGAAGGAAAACTGTTTGACTTCTGAAATCCACAGTCAGGAAACAGGCTGATAGGGAGAGGCACTGTGCCGTGAACACCTGGTATCCTCCAAGAAGAAGGAAGAACGACTCTGAAGGCAGGGTGCCCACTCTGGGCCTGGGTGATGGTGCCCTGAGGCACAGGGGATTATTCTCAGGCCTGGAAATCTCATGAAATTTGCCCTGCTGGGTTTCAGGCTTGCTTTAAACCACTGGTCCTTTTCCTCCTTCCACTTCCTCCCTTTCCGAGTGGGAATGTCTATCTTCTGTCTGTCCTACCCTTGTATTTTAGAAGACAACCAGTTCCACTGGTCCATAGAGGGAGGGCTAATTTGTCCCAGGGGTTATCACACCCACCATCTCACCTATATCTGATTTAGATGATCACATTTGAAACTTTCTGAGTGGATGATATTTTGATGAGATCTAGTTCATGCTGAAATGGGTTAAGACTTGGGAATGTTGGGACGGAATGAATGTGTTTTGCATGAGAGGACCAGAGGGCAGACTGTAGTGGTTTGGATAGTGTCCCCCAAAACTCATGTCCACTCATGTCTTAGTCCATTGAGGCTGGTATAACCACGTACCACAGTCTGGGTGGCTTATTAACAACAGAAATTGGGTTTTAGTGGTTATGGAGGCTGGAAGTCATAGACCATGGTGCCAGCATGGCAGGGTTTCCAGGGAAAGTTCTCTTCTGGGTTCCAGATGGCCACTTTCCGACAAAGTAGAAGGGGCTAGGGTTTTGGGCCACTTTTATAAAAGCACAGATCCCATTCATGAGTGCTTCGCTTTGTCTGTGAGGTTTCCCAAAGGTCCCACCGCCGAATACCACGACACTGGCCGTTAGGTTTCCAATCTGTGAATTTTAGGACACAAAAATTCAGACCCTAGCAACCCCAAACTTTAGAATATGACCTTACTTGGAAATAGGGTCTTTGCAGATATAATTAGCTAAGATGAGATTATACTGGCTTCGGGTGGGCCTGAAATCCAGGGATTTGATGACATTGTTAAAGTGGTCTCAAGAAACTAATACAGGGGCACACCTGGGTGGCTCAGTGGGTTAAAGCCTCTGCCTTCGGCTCAGGTCATGATCTCAGGATCCTGGGATCGAGCCCTGTATCGGGCTCTCCACTCAGCAGGAGCCTGCTTACCCCCCCCCCCTCTCTCTCTACCTGTCTCTCTGCCTACTTGTAATCTCTGTCTGTCAAGTAAATAAATAAAATCTATTTTTTTTTAAAAGGAAACTAATACAGGATCCTAGAAGAATTATATAAGATAATTCAACATTCACCTCATATTTAAAACTCCTGGAGTGCCTGGGTGGCTCAGTCATTGAGCGTCTGCCTTTGGCTCAAGGCATGAGCCCAGGGTCCTGAGATCGAGCCCTGCATTGGGCTCCCTGCTCAGGGGGAAGCCTGCTTCTCCCTCTCCCACTCCCCCTGCTTATGTTCCCTCTCTCGCTGTGTCTCTCTGTGTGTCAAATAAATAAATAAAACCTCCTATGTGCCATCCATGTAAAGCTTTGGCACAGGACCTAACAACTACTAGCTGTTCATGAAGTGCTGCTTGTATGTTACATAAAAGTTTCCAAAATCTTCCTTGGGCTGTGTAGGTAGA